CAATTTGACATTAAAAAATAATGACTAATTAAACTAAAGAAAATTATCAAAGAATTAATATATTATCTTAAAATGATTTATTTTTTAGCTGTTGAAAGTACCATCTTCTACACTAGCAAAACACCTTCCACTTGTATTTTTCAGCGATTGATTGTAGTAATTATATTGTATTTTCCAGTGATTGATATTAGTATTTATATTGTATTTTCCAGCAATTGATAGTAGTATTTATATTGTATTTTTCAGCGATTGATTGTATGTTTAGAAGAGAGTTTATATATACACAATATTCGAGATATGAAAGTGTTACACACGATACGTGATACACCACCTAATCCTACAGGACTTTGTGCTCTGGCTATAAGCAATGATAATTGTTTCTTGGCCTACCCTGGTAGTAATCAGATTGGTGAAGTCCAGATATTCGATACTATTAATTTAGTAAGTATATTTGATTATCTATGAAATTTCAATGGTAAAGTTCAGTTTTATGTAATAGTTAGATCATATTAAAGGGATTGTATAGAGGATTTCTAAACTTTTTATGTGTATTGGGGACACTCTAAGCATTGATTTGCACGATTCCAATTTTTAGTCAGACGTCTGTGGTTCTTTCAATTCCACTATACCTAAGCATTTGAACGTGCTTTTTTATAGTGACGTCATCAAACTCTTAGTTTTAGTGGAGTCGCAGGAACCACAGATGTCCGACTGAAAATTGGAATGGTGCAAATTGATGCTATCAGTTTCCCCGATACACATGCAAAATTTATAAAACCTCTTTACAGTCTCTTTTATTAAAGAAAGTGAGTTATACTGTACAGTATTACTAGTGTATTTTGTTTTATGTTCTCTCAACTTATAAATGTCATTATACCTTTTTTAGAGAGCAGTTACTATGATACCAGCCCACGATGGTCCTTTAGCTGCTTTAAGTTTTAGTCACCAAGGTAACAAATTAGTCACAGCTTCAGAAAAGGTAAACTCTTTGAATTTAATTTAAAAATGCATTCATTTGATTCTTGATTTAACTCTTGGTAATAAAAATTAAACAAAAACGGTCTTATTTACAAAATATTTCGCCAATAAATTTAGACTGGAGTTGGGAAAACAGATACTTTGACAACTATTTACTTATAATAATACTTCAAAATAACCTGGCCACATATTATCGCAACGATCTTAGCGCTAGGATGTCCTAGAATCAATGTTAGAAGATAAGATCCTAGGACATCCTAGAGCTAAAATCGGTTTGAGAATACGTGGCCTGGTCCATTGATAGCAGAGCTAGAGCCCAGACATTAATGCCCCTAAGCACACATCTTTAAACAAATGTTCCAACTCTCGAAATGTAGACATGAGAATAAGTTCTACTTGTCTAACTTCAGTAGGGACACAGGCTGAAATAGGTCAGTTGTCTGAAGATCTGAGAAACTCTGAGTAACAACATGTTTCAGGTTCTGTTTTAATATTTCTACCCATGATAATATATTGTGTGATGTTACAGGGAACAGTAATCAGAGTTTTCTCTATACCAGACGGACAGAAATTATTTGAATTAGAAGAGGAGTAAAAGG